ACTTTATGACATATTCCTCAGGTGCTGCTGGGTACCACTATAGCCTTCTTCTTATCTCTGTGTGAAAATCAGACAAGTCTGGTGCTAAAGTTTGAATTTGCACCTGGACTAAGGTTTGAATTTGCAACTGGACTAAGAGCCACTGACACATAACATGTGTTCTTATGAAGGGGAAAAAATGCCTCTGGAGTTATTTGAACTATATTTTGACTTGTGCATGACTTGTGCTGCAGGTTCTGCGATGCATGCTTCTAGCTTTGAGTACCGCCACCTTTTTTTTATTCCAGTCAAGCGCTTTGGGGTTTGTGTCGGCATTTTACTGCAAAAACCTGTCAGAGAGAGTTTTGCGACCAATGGACTGTTATGCCAAGCACCGCTGCTGATCATTTTTTTAAACAGTATCGACGGTTATAATGACAATTTCTGCTCTACTGCTGTCAACAGAAAACAACCCTTTTCCTTGCTTTTTTCTCTTAACCTAATTCCTTCCCTTCGGGTCGGAAGATTTCATCGTAATACAAACAGACTCCGCACCGCTTCACCTGTTTTCCAACTTTCTACCTTCAAACAAGCCTCCATGAAATGTCACGGTAAGGAAGAGCGAGAAGTCATTCCCCCACCTTGCCTTGTCGTGTCTGGACTTCGGCGTATGACATTTTTACAGAGCCACCATTCCTTACTGTTAGTGCCGCTGTAATGAAGGGCCGCTTAACTTGCATTTAGAAGCGCTGGGGGAAGCACATTTGTCCCATCTTGTTCTAAATAATGACCAATTACCGGGGAGTGTGAGGTGCGCCTCAGCCCCACGGATGAGACGTTTCAGATGGCGGAAAAGCTGTCACGGGTGGGCGTCGGGGGTTGGACAGGGGGGTTTAGACCTCTAATTGGAGGCAGATTTCATGATGATATTTCTGATGATGCAGCAGCATGAGGGACAGAGAAGGAGATGAAAAAAGAGAAGGGGAAGGAAGGGAAACAGAAAAAAGACATGAGGGCGTGAGCGAGAAAAGAGCCGATGGAGACAGACAGACAGTGGGAGACGGGGAAAGTGGAATGAGAGATGATAAAGAGAGGGAGGATGACATGAAGAGGGACGGGAAGAGAGAGAGAAAGAGAGAACAGGCCCTGCTGCTGTTTGTCTTGCAGGGATAATATTCCACCAAAGTCTAATTCTGTCCATAAAAGCTGTCGGACTTATTTTTTTTTTCCTTCTTCTTGCCTCCCGCAACCGCTCCCCCTCTCTTCCTTTCAGAGTGATAGTTGCCTTGGCAACCATGGCAAATCTTCCTTTTCTCAAACAGATGTCCCATTTAGTTGGAAATTAGAATGTATAAAAGCCCACGAGACGCAAATTATTTCAAAGTTCTCCGGTGGAGAGGAGGAAACGAGGGGGGGGGTGGGGGGGACTGGGCAAGAAATTAACAGAAAGACAATAGAGATAGAAAGAGGGAGGGAGTCTTCTTTTCCTCTCCTCTTCCGCGCTTCAGCGTGTGAATCGTGGAGATTAACCAGATCATCCAGCGCTGGTGGTTTGTTCTGGGGGAAGTGGAGCTGTTTTTGGGGTGGTTGGTTGGGCAGCGAGCAGGATGATGGATCCCTCCCCTGCATCCAGGGTGGGGGGCAAATGGCAAGAACTGTTAGCCCCGGTGCCAATGTGGCAGAAGGGACACACTATGCGGAGCACCGGGCTGCTCTCGACGGAAGGGAGCTTGTCCTGTGGTCTCCGCATGCTGCAAAAAATATCCTGCTCACATTGCAACCTCATTTAAATGGAGAGTTGAACCTCTGACCTGTTAAGAGTTTGTCTTCCTCATTTTTAAGGCAAATAATAGTGTGCAAGAAAATATGCACCTCATGTTAAATTAAAGAATCTATAATCATTTTATTAAACAACTCAAGTTCTTGCTCTTGTTTCAAATGCAAATGAGTTCTTGGAAAAGAACCCAGTTTAACAAACCATTTGATGAGATTTAAAGGAAAAATGCATCCAAAAAACACTTTAAGCTGTTCATGAAAAAAGAAACTGGCTGGGACGAGTGATTCACTGGCAAAATGGGAACAACTCAACGTTCCTGTGAGCCATGCTAGAAATACTAGAACACTGACATTCAGCAATCAATGGGGAGAAATCCATCATGACAGACCAATCACAACACAGACAGCAGTCTCAATAGACCAGAATATGCAATGCTGCCTCAAGACATGTTGGATCTATCTTCAGGCCAAGGAAGCTTCCTTTAGGCAGCACAGAAGATAAAGATGAACCGCTAACTGCTGAATTACTGGCAAGCAAAAACCCTTGACAAAATGGTATATGATAGACAGATCTGCCTTCTTTAATTTGATAATCATCAAAACACATTTTGGTTCAATCATTTGTATCTGGAAGACTGAGGTTACTTTTACGCTCAACTCACTTTGATGGCATTTGATGGTTTCAGTTTTACTGAAGGGACAAACAATGTGTCACACTGACATTTTAGGAACACGGTGTATAAGCTATGAACTTTGATTGGAATAAATATTCAAATTGTTTAATATTAAAACACTGACGTCACTCAAAGGGGGAACGGTATTGCCTCAACATTCCGGGAGAGCAACAGTGGAGATGTTGCGTTTTGTCTCACCAACATGATCCCAACAGGCCGAATTGGTTTGGAGCAGGCTGCTCGAAGACCTCTCTTTGTTTTCATTCTTCAAACAACCACGGAGAGATTGTGTACAGCTGCCCCCAACTTTATATGGTTATCGTGGCCCTTTTTCACCGAGCCTTTAAGTGTGGCTGTTCAGAACAGCTACCAACACTTTTGCCTTGTGTCATGGTGCATTTATTGTTAACCCAGATCTAGTCATCTTCGAGTTAGATCCATTTAATTAATGACTGAAGGTGACCACACAGTAACTATCCTCCTGTAATGTTACGGTACAAAAACATTTTTTGGACCTGTACTTGTCTGTCATTATTTAGTGACATTACTCCATGGTGAGTGCAGGCCTAACTCGAGCTCTGCCCCGACCCACACACCTCACTCTACCACCCCCAGTGTCCTCACTGAGGTGCAGTTCCAGGCATCTCCAAATGACACATCAACTCACCCACCTCCTCTGTAAACACGCACATGCCACACCGTGGGAGGCTTATAGGCAGGGCTGGAACCGTGTGCTCCGATTCTGCCCATGCGCATCCAGCAGAGATCCCGATCCACCGAGGAGGCCCCCCATGCTCATCCCCTCTTCCTGGTTATGTTTTTCCACCCATCTGCTTGTCTTCCTCCTCCTCCCACCCTCCAACCCTCAAGTTTTCACACCTTTCTATCTACATTTTTTTTGTTCCCTTAAACAACTCCGCTTCGGCCGATTAGCGCGCCGTTAACGTTTTTTTCCAAGTCGCTGTTCCCTCCCAGTGAGAGTCGTCTCCGGCGGGAGCTCATTATCGCCGGACATGAAGTTGACTGCCAGGGTCCCGGCTGATTTGTCACATCCCAGTTCCCTCCCGCCGCATTGGGGGTGTTGTTGAGTTGGTGTATATGTGTGTGTGTTGGTGGGGGTTGGGGGTGGGGAGGATTCGTCTGGAACTGCCTGCTCTGGGGAGCGTCACAAAGTGTTTTTCTACGGCCCCCGTGTTTGTTACCGTCTTATTCCCTGACAGTAACTCTTGTCGGTGGAGAGGGACGACGGCGAGTCACGTGTCGTGCGTTGAGAACATTTCCATGTGCTGTTTGTCATGTCGCTGGTATTGTTTACAGCGATTCATGCAGTTTTGGTTTATGGCTTTGTATTGTGCTGTGAAATGGAAATGGCGCCCCAGCAGATCTTCATCTACTTACCAGATGCATGAGATGAGGCTGCGGAAGGAGGAAATCAGCAACGCAGGCACAGATTTATGACTTAAATAGACATTTTTCAGCATGTCGGCTTCATCAGAGTGGGTAGATCAATTCATCCTGAAGCCTGTCAATGGTTTTATTAAAGTATTCGGTGTCAGCACGGTATTTTCTATGTTGTTCATAGAAATCAGGGTGGAAAAAGTTACATATGTTCCACATATGACTCTGGGATGAGTTGTGTATTATGCTGCTCCTGCAGGCCCTCAGCATCCATTAAAGTTACTGTTTTTTGACAAATAAAATGAAGTCGCAAAGGTACATTAATAGATGAATGAAAGGACGTCCTTGGAAGTGCTTGATTAAAAGTCGTTCAAGGGGAATTCATCATTGCGCCTTTCCAATCCAAACATCAAGGCCTCATTTTTTCCACACCTCAACCAAAGCGGGCCAATTTGAGTCCTTATATTTCACCAAATATTAAAAAGTCTAAGAGTTGGAACACTGAAATTGTGTTTTTTTTCTCAAGGCACAATTGAACCTAATCGAATATGGGTTTTCCTTTAAAGTAGGTTCTAGGGACCCGATGAAATAGGCTTAATTATTTTTTCAACGACCAGTTGATCCCAATTAGAGGGTTATAATAACCACTCATCTACTATCTCCTTTTGCTGACTGGTAGAATATTAATTAGAGACTCCTACAGTCAGCGATAGATATACTGTGGGGATGAAATCAATAAGAAGGTGGGCTGGGTTACCAACCGCATTAGGGCCTCAGAACTCAAGGGCCCCTGAGATCTCCACACTTACTGTGTGTCAAATGGTTTGCACTAGTTTAATTACTCCTCCGCGAATCGCCACCTTAACGTGGTGGAGGAGTTTGAGTGGCTCAGTGATCCTGGGAGCTATGTTGTCCGGGGCATTAGCCCCTGGTAGGGTCTCCCAAGGCAAACAGGTTTCAGGGGAGAGCCCAGACTAAGAGCGGTTCAAAACAACCCTTATGACAGTTAGCCCACGGACTTCAGCCACCTCGCCCAGACCAGGGAAACCGGGGCACCCTCCCGGAGCCAGACCCAGGAGGGGAGCTCGTAGGCGAGCGTCTGGTGGCCGGGCCTTCGCCCATGGGGCCCGGTCGGGCTCAGCCCGAAGAAACACCATGGAGCAGCCACCCTGTGGACTCACCACCCGCAGGGACAAGCATCGGGGTCAGGTGCAATGCAGACCAGGCGGCAGGTCGGGCAGGAGGCCCGGGCATGCCGATCGCCGGCAGCATAGACTAGCTCTAGGGACGTGGAACGTCACCTCGCTAGCGGGGAAAGAGCCAGAGCTGGTGCAGGAGGTGGAGCGATACCAGCTAGATATAGTTGGACTCACCTCCACACACAGCGTTGGCCCTGGACTTTGTCCTTTTCCGGAGTTGCCCAAGGTGAGAGGCGCCGGGCGGGAGTGGGGATACTCACGAGCCCCCGGCTGAGCGCCGCTGTGTTGGAGTTCTCCCCGGAGAACGAGAGGGTCGCCTCCATGCGCCTACGGGTTGCGGGGAGCAAGGCTCTGACTGTGGTTTGTGCTTACGCACCAAACAGCAGTTCAGAGTATCCGGCCTTCTTGGAGTCGGTGGGAGGGGTCCTGGAAAGGGCGCCGCCTACCGACTCCATAGTTCTCCTGGGGGACTTCAACGCTCACGTGGGCAATGACGGAGAAACCTGGCGGGGGGTGATTGGGAGGAACGGCTTGCCCGATCTGAACCCGAATTGTGTTTCGTTATTGGACTTCTGTGCGTGCCACGGTTTGGCCATAACGAACACTATGTTCGAACATAAGGTGGCTCATAAGTGTACCTGGTACCAGAACACCTTAGGCCGGATCAATGATCGACTTTGTAATCGTATCATTTGATTTGCGGCCGTATGTCTTGGACACTCGGGTGAAGAGAGGAGCAGAGCTGTCAACTGATCACCACCTGGTGGTGAGTTGGATCAGATGGCAGGGGAACCGGTTGGAGAGACCCAGCAAGCCCAAACATGTAGTGAGGGTGAACTGGGAACGTCTGGCGGAGGACCCTGTCCGGGAGGTCTTTAACTCCCACCTCCGGAAGAACTTCTCACACATCCCGAGGGAGGTTGGGGACACGGAATCCGAATGGACCATGTTCAAAGCCTCTATTGTGGACGCGGCCGCTAGGAGCTGTGGCCGGAAGGTCATCGGTGCCTGTCATAGCGGCAACCCGAGAACCCGGTGGTGGACACCGGAGGTGAGGGAAGCCGTCAAGCTGAAGAAGGAGACCTTCAAGGCCTGGTTGGCCCAGGGGTCTCCTGAAGCAGCTGACAGGTACCGGCAGGCCAGAAGGGCTGCAGCTGCGGTGGTCGCGAATGCTAAAACTCGGGTATGGGAGGAGTTCGGGGAGGCCATGGAGAAGGACTTTCGGTTGGCCTCAAGGAGGTTCTGGCAAACCATCCGACGGCTCAGAAAGGGAAAGCAGGGCTTACCCCAGGCTGTTCTCAGCAGGGGGGGGGAACTGCTGACGGGGGACATCGTCGGGCGGTGGAAAGAGCACTTTGAGGAACTCCTAAACCCGACCAACATGTCCTCTGCAGAGGAGGCAGCGCCTGAGGACCTAGGGAGAGGCTCACCCATATCCCTGGCAGAGGTCGCTGAGGTAGTTAAAAAGCTCCTTGGTGGCAAGGCGCCTCGGGTGGATGACATCCGCCCTGAGATGCTGAAAGCGCTGGACATAGTTGGGCTGTCCTGGCTGACACGCCTCTTCAATGTCGCATGGGGGTCGGGATCAGTGCCCATTGAATGGCAGACCGGGGTGGTGGTTCCCATCTTCAAAAAGGGGGACCGGAGAGTGTGCTCGAATTACCGGGGTATCACACTACTCAGCCTCCCGGGGAAGGCTTATGCCAGGGTGCTGGAAAGGAGGCTCCGACCGCTTGCCGAACCTCGGATTCAAGAGGAGCAGTGCGGATTCCGTCCCGGCCGTGGAACAGTGGACCAGCTCTTTACCCTCGCAAGACTACTGGAGGGGTTCTGGGAGTTTGCCCAACCAGTCTACATGTGCTTTGTGGACTTGGAGAAGGCTTTCGACCGGGTCCCTCGGGGGTTCTTGTGGGGGGTGCTGCGGGAGTATGGGGTGCCGGACCCGTTACAACAGGCGATCCGGTCTCTGTACGACTGCAGTAGGAGCTGTGTCCTGTTCTTGTGTCTTGTTCACGAGTGAGGGTAAGATGGAGCGGGAAGGCAAAGCTCTCAATTTACCACGCGGTCTACGTTCCTACCCTAACCTATGGTCACGAACTCTGGGTCATGACCGAAAGGACAAGGTCGCGGCTACAAGCGACCGAAATGAGTTTCCTCCGTAGGGTGGCCGGGCTCAGCCTTAGAGATAGGGTAAGGAGCTCGGTCATCAGGAGGGAGCTTGGAGTCGAGCCGCTACTCCTTCACGTCGAAAGGAGTCAGCTGAGGTGGTTCGGGCATCTAATTAGGATGCCTCCTGGACGCCTCCCACTGGAGGTTTTCCAGGCATGTCCAACTGGGAAGAGACCCCGGGGAAGACCCAGAACACGCTGGAGAGATTACATCTCCCAGCTGGCCTGGGAACGCCTCGGGATCCCCCAGAATGAGCTGGAACATGTTGCCGGTGAGAGGGAGGTCTGGGTCAGCCTGCTTGGCCTGCTGCCACCGCGACCCGACCCCGGATAAGCGGAGGAAAATGGATGTATGGATGGATAGTTTAATTGAAACTTGGTTTGGGAATAAGACCAACTGAAACAATAAGGGTCTTCATGGTGACTTAATTAAGATGACCAATCTTCAATAAGTGAACTTGCCATTAATGTCAAAATCTTGTTTTCAGACTATGATCATTTTATTAAATCTGGAGCCACTCTTTAGAGGTTTAACAACTTTAGGTAGTCGCACATGATCTTCATTACAATACCTTTCAAGGCTTTTTTTGTCATTCATTGATTGCTGTCAGGATGCAATGAAAAATTTAACAAAAATATCAAAACGTTTTTTTAAAAAGATTACCAACCCTACCTTTAACCACCTTTTAATGACCCGACAGAGCTGTTGACAGATCCATCATTGCAAGCATTGTCTGCTCAAGCTTTGTTCAATTCTACAGAACTTTATTTTTAGTTCTGGTCGAGTTTTCAAAGATTACGGACAGAAATACAGTCATGAATTCAATGCGTGTGAAATGATGCATGGAGCCCCTAGAATCTTCTGTGTGATTTGATGCAGTCATAAAACTTTAATCTTGTTTTTGAATATTTGATTTAGTCTATTTGTGATCTACCTTCACTGAAGAATGGCTCTGTCACCATCTGTAGTTCAAAACTAAATATACAAATAGTTTGATCACACTCCTCGTAGGACCACATCTACTGAACTGAGGATGTGACATGAAACCCTACCCGGGACGGCTGGAATCGGTTTTGGCTCTCCTGACATCAGACTGGACTGGAGAGCAAAAAGCAGCAGATGAGATGAAAAGATGGAGGGGGAGTTAGAGTCATGACAGCAGAGGAGAGCAGGAACAGGGGACTCGGCTATTCATCTGTCACTAATCCTGTATATCATTCCTTACCTCTGCCTGTCCGGCTCCATCCTACTTCCCCCTCTCTGCATCTGTCTTTGCTTTCATTCCTCGCATCTTGGTGCATTGTTGTATCTCATTTATCTTTTTTCCCCCTATCCTCCTATTCCTCCACTTCTTGCTCTGCGTTATTCTCTTTGTCTGCCTATCCATCGCTACTCATCCCTTCTCCTCCGGTTTCTTCTTTTTCTGCCCACACTTCCACCCATCTACGGCAGCAGACTTTCTTTGACTAAAAGCAGGAAACATCCAGGGGACTGAGACCTGCCAGGTGTGTGTGTTTGTGTTTGTGTGTGTGTGTGTGTGTGTGTGTGTGTGTGTGTGTGTGTGTGTGTAATTGACGCATGCCTCGAGGTCTGATATTTCAGTGTTTCAGCAAACAAGCACATTGTACAGCCTTGGGGATGGATGGATGGATATACGGTGTAGATGGATGGATGGATGGATTTAAATGAGAGGAAGTTGGTGTGATGGCGGTGCAGTTTTTGGAGGCAGCTGCCAGTGACAGCAATCACTCGGGGGATGGATTGGGAATAGAATCTGTCTGAGAAGAGGAAGGCAGATTATTCACAGATGTTTTCAGCTAGAGAGTTGTTTTGTAGTGCACAGCTCTGGTTGGACAAACTTTTCCTGCTGAAAGAATATTAAATGATTTACAGTGGAAACAGTTTATAGTAATCACGTCTGTACCGGTCAAATTGATCAGAATAAGCAGATGATTATTATAACTCATATTTTTGTCTATTTAATTAATTATTTTTCTTTGTTCTTTTCTTTTATTTAGCTTTATAGCTTATTTGCATTTGAATACATGATTATAAAGTTTTGAAACAGACAGCTTCGCTATTTACTGAATAGATTGTTTCAAATTACCGTACAACTCTTTCAAACGCTTTTGAAATGACTGTAAATGAAATGACGGTACTGTGTATAATTCAAATACACTGTAGCCCTGCTCAAAGTGGACATTAAATGACCGAGAATTATCAATCAGCGTTGCCACATGGGAAATATTGAACTATTGTACCTGTTGGGAACGAAGAGGAGCGTGTTTGAGTTATCAGCATATAAGAAAACAAAATTATTGACATCAATAGAATTATTAATGTCAGTAAGATTATTAACGAATCGCCACCTTAACGTGGTGGAGGAGTTTGAGTGGCTCAGTGATCCTGGGAGCTATGTTGTCCGGGGCATTAGCCCCTGGTAGGGTCTCCCAAGGCAAACAGGTCTCGGGGGAGAGCCCAGACTAAGAGCGGTTCAAACAACCCTAATGATAAGCAGCCCACGGACTTTAGCCACCTCGCCCGGACCAGGGAAACCGGGGCACCCTCCCGGAGCCAGACCCAGGAGGGGAGCTCGTCGGCGAGCGTCTGGTGGCCGGGCCTTCGCCCATGGGGCCCGGTCGGGCTCAGCCCGAATAAACAGCATGGAGCAGCCACCCTGTGGACCCACCACCCGCAGGGACAAGCATCGGGGTCGGGTGCAATGCAGACCGGGCGGCGGGTCAGGCGGGAGGCCTGGGCGAGCCGATCGCCGGCGGCATAGACTAGCTCTAGGGACGTGGAACGTCACCTCGCTAGCGGGGAAAGAGCCAGAGCTGGTGC